GCAGGACTGCAAACTCCAGCTCAAGGGTTTTTGGCGACAAGGCAAAGTCAATCATAAATCAAGGACACTTAAACGTTCAGAAAGACAAAGATCTTATTGGTGTAGCAACAGTGCCTCAATCCAAGCAACGGATTTCAGCATCTGAGGAGGGAAATCAGACATCAGTGCTCAACAATAGTCTTCAGAAGAGTCCAAAATCTCAAAGATTTCCAGAAGGATCTGTTAGGAATCAACCTGCCAGTCAGCTCAAAACAGTATGTATAACTGGTTCTGAAGATGAGGAAGGGTTTGAAGTCCCTACTTTTAAGAAAGTGGACAGCAGACATTTTCCAAAACCAACCAGAACAGTGGCTCGATCATCTTCAATCAAAGATCTAAGCAGTCGAGAGATCCACACCCATATAAACCATGCAGAGGTTTCACAGCAAGGCTCTATGGATCTTGGAGAGAAAACCAACCCTTCTCTGTTTGGTTCAAAGACAAGTGAGAGCGAAAGAAATGAACCTGCACATCACAGCACAGCTGCAGAGGCTCATAGAGGTACGGAAACAGTCCCTAATCAATCCAGCCAGAAGGACTGCATCCGAATCCCTTCGAAGAACCAAGGGTCGTCTACAGAAGCTGACCAGTTGGTTAAAATTACTCTTGAACCTGGCACCAACACTACCACAACATCAAAGTATTCATACATACCCACACAACTCAACCAGACTGCGCCCTCTCCTTTGAAGAACAGGACCTGTAGACGTGTGATCAAAGAAGCTGGTAGTTTATCTGACAGTGAGCACAAATATCTGACATCTACCCAAGCATGGAAGAAAGCTTCCTTCTCTGACCAAGCACGGAGCAAAGTAGCTCAACTGAGGGATGCTTCCGAGTCATCACAAAAGAGCCACACTAGTTCAGATACAGATTCCTCCAAATCGAATTCAAGTAGAACAAGCTCTCAAGAGGATGATACACACTCGAGAAGGTACAAAAGTTCACGGGTTGCAAGAAGACGCAGTAGCACACAGTCCATTAGCATGCAAACAACCAGGGACCAGAAGATTCAGCTGGACTCCACTGACCTGCCCCAAATCCCCTCCTCCCCTCATAACCCATACATACACCCTGACCAGCATGCCCACAGAAACATACCAGAACATTCCATGCATGAATGGATGCCCCAACAGCCGTTCCCTTTAGACCCTCAGCAACAGTTTGACCCTCTGTCCAGAGTCGACAAAGCATCTGAACAGCCATTTAAAGAAGAGAAAACCAACGATGGCTTGAAATTTGAAGAAATGAACTTCACTCATCAACAGGAGGACTGCATATTGTGGACGGTGTCTGATTCTGAGGAGATGGAAAGTGAACTTGAGAGTGAGAAAATGCCACATCCTGGTGTTTATGTATCTGCAGGTGAGTACAGGAATTGCAAAAAGTAAACAAGAAACATGATGATCATTAGATTCAAGTTATTGTGATGTTTGACTATTGAACAGGATTATAGTAACTGAGAGGGGACTACATTTCTAATGGTGTAATTGCATGTGAAGTTTCCCAATCAGACACAATGGGGGTATTTTTAGAGTACCAATATTGAAACCTTGGTGTCGACTGATACTGATACCATTCTGATATTTTTCCTTTAATTTTAAATTTTAAACGGTTCAGATCTCACATTTTTCTTCCATTGTATTTTTGTCCTTTGAAGTCTATGTGTGCATGATGTCTGTGTGGTTTTGTATACCAAAAATCGTCATAATTCATGTTTACATGACCATTTTCCAACATTTCTTTATCCCTTAGAACTGAACAGGCCGTTTTTCTCCTTGTGCCCTTCAGGCCAATATACGTAAATGACCTCTGTTCTCATTTTCTGTCTATTAATGTGCCTTTTTTAAAAAGCAGCCCATACCGAAACATCCTTATAACTTCAGTATGAATGGGCAGGGCTAAACTGATATAGGCTGAATAGGCGGACACATGTGAATGTGTTGGTTTTTATCACAAAACAGTAAATACAGAAGACAATGTGAAGGAAAGGTAAAGAATTAAACTTTAAACTTATTACTGAAATCTGTTATCTTATCTAAATGCCCAACTCACTCTATTGAGGACAGACTATGGTCTCATTATCCTATAGAAAGGCTGTTAGTATTAACGAAAAAAAAGTCTGCCAAATCACTCACTAACACAGAAATGTACTGTTTGCTGGGGAGACTGGGGTTTTATTCTCTGCCCAGGCAAGTACATTACTAAGAGTTCTTGGGCAAGATTCTTAGCGCTACATATACCTAACTCTGCAATATGATTATCATTCTAGATAACAATAGGACAGGTCATTCTGGATAGGAAAGTGTCAAATGCATAAATGTAAATAGAATATAATTAGCCAAGAACATGACAGAGTTTAGCTAATCTCTTTTACAAAACAACATAGTTATATAGCTAAAGCTATATAGAAGGTGGATTATTGTAATTTTTATATAATTTTAGTCCCTTCCGAATGCACCATGTCAGTCATGTTGTTGGGCTGCACACTCCCGCATCAGTAAAGATTCTGCCATCTTTTACCTACAAAACGAGCAACAGAAGCCCATGTTATGTTAATCCTGTGCAAATCAACATGTCAATAAATCGCTATCATATTCTGTAGAAAAGGAGTTTCTTAAGTACGGAAGCACTCAAAGAAATGTAAACTGCTGTTCTCTGTGGCTTAATGTCAATCAAGCAGATATTCTAGCTGATTTGTACCGTCCTTTACCACATGTACAACTCAGAACATGACATGTAGTAACATCTAAAAATCACAGAAAAATAGTTTGATTTTTATGCAGTGATGTTGACTGTTGGCTGTAAATTTCCAAGCTGATGACAATGCTAATGATTCACTTAGGACAGCAAGACAGATGGTTAGAGTAAACGGAAAAATGGCTAAATGAAATCCGACGTTTTCTACTTTTTTCTGGAGTAAATTCAGGCGTAAATCAAGTAGCCACTCCCATCTCTGTCATTTATATTGAGATTTCTTGTTCTGTGCGAATTGGTCATAAACAAGACAGACAATCTGAGGTAAACTGATCACCCCACCTTCCCACAGAAAACTAATCCTGTCCAAATAGCGCTTTGTAATGCAAAGGTGTCCAAAATTATAAAAAAAAATGAAATTCTACCTCAATAGCTAGCATGCTAGTTACTTACTCTACTGCTATACTAAATGTGGCTCCTGTTGTGACCGTTTTTATTTCGCTTGAAGTTTAGTTGCGCTGCAAGCAATTTTTTTATATTTCTGTCTAGATTTGTTACAGAATGAGATATTGGTTCTTTTTTTTCTCAAAAATGTGATCTATCATTTCCTGCTGGTTTTGGCCCCATAATACGGGGTCAGATTGGTGTGATCTCTAATATACGTCATTTAATTGCTACTAGATTGTGCAGCAACTCTATGATAAGTCTGGGAAAACGTAAAAAAGAGTGGCGGGCTGTCTTATCAGGCCGCATACACACATGCCTTCAGTCAGGAAGATAAGCAGGCTGTGAGGCAAGTGCTAGCCTCTCACAGACATATTGTACACCAACATGTACAGTACACGGACATGCAACCGAGTACTAGTGAACTATGCAGGTGGCACACACACAAGCAGTGCACGGCCTGGGACAACAAAGCTGTAAAATGTGAGTAGGCGGGAGCTGGAATAGTCTGGGTTTGTGTTGTTATATGCGGTTCTGTATGGGTTGACCTCCTGGCAATTGTACTGCAGAACTGCAGGCTTCAGAAAAGCAATGCTAAGATGTAGCCTAGCATGATTAGCTTAATACTTTTATTGAACAATATTTTAATGAATCAAATAAGGATCAATATATGAATACATGCTTTGATTTTTTAGTAATATAACTTAGTATTTAAGTATGTACATTTTCTTTTCAATTCTTCTCGAAGACTCTTTGCACTGTGTAGTCCAAAAATATTTACAGAATGTCACATTTTTGTTGTTGTTTTTGGCTTTGTGCTGAAGAACATTAGGCCTAACTAATTAACTGCCAGGTTAATTGAATGTCCATATGTGGTTAACCATTAGAGAATTACAGACATTTATGTGTTGCCCTCCAAATTTTAGAGAACTAAAAGTAATCAGACAGTCAGTTCCACAGTTGATTCTTGCCCAGCTGTCATTAAATCATTATTTTAAATAGTACAGAGTTGATTTTAGATGAATCTGGAACATGAGAAGTGTCAATGCCTGTAAAGCAAGCCACGGTGAGGCTGAAAATTCAAAATAAACCAGTCAGAAATACCCATCTAGTATATTATAAAGATGCAAGGATGTACTTGTGAGCTCAGCAAAAGCAAATGACCAGGCCAAAGAACAGAAAAGTCAGGTTACACTTCTTAAATGTACATAAAAAAATACAAAAAACGCCTGTAAAGTTCTAGGACAAAATTTATGTTGGGATCAGATGAGATGAAGTTTAACCTGAAATGGAATGATGGAAGGAAAGTGTAAATGAAATAGGATCCATGCATTGACTTACCACCTGATGGGCATGTATGGCTGCAAGTGGAATTAGCTCCCTTGTCCTTTTTATTGATCAGCAGGAAAAATTTTGAACTGTACAGAAGTATCTGCTCAGTACCAAGATTTACTAGATAATGCTTTCACTTTGCAGCAGGACAATGACCCCAGACATATTGCTACAGAAACTATGGTGTTTTATCAGGGTTTTAAAGGTCAACTATTTTTTTTAATACGCTAATATTAAAAATAAAACTTTACTTACTTGACAGATACAGAGCGTAAACGAAATTAGATTAAATAAATAAACAAAATAGAATGAATATTATATTTATGAGAAAAAGAGAAACATATACACATCATATAACATATCATTATTAATCTGAATAAAACAAACCACACAGCTCCAAAACCCGCTCAGTCCGTTTCTGAGCCGACTGTCTGATCTGCGCATGCGCGCTGCATCACCCCGTCTCCCCTCTTGTCTCCTTAGTAACGGAAAAAAAAGGAAAGGGGGAGTAAAGAGGGAGTGTGAGCCGCGAGAGAAAGGAAGAATAGGAGGGGACGAAATACAAATCTGTCCGAAAGAAAACGGCGTTCATAGCTTGTCTTCGTTTCGTTTATTAACAGCGAAGGAGCTCTCGGCTGAAAAAGGGCCGCGTTTTTCTTTGAAAAACACCGGAGAATCAGTAACGGTAACGGTAACGTTCCTCACAACAGTCGGTAAGTCAGCGTTCAGCCACCGTCCTTCCTTCAGCACTAACAGCGAGTGTGGGTGAACGAGTGATGGTCATTCAGGGCCGTTAGTTTTAGGGTTAGTTACGCTGTCTTCTTGTACATCAGTTACGAGGCTGAAGTTGGCTTCTTGATTGAATTCTCCCGTTCCACCTTAAATATTTCAATATTTAAGGTGGACCGGGATAATTCGAACAAGAAGCTGATGAACAAGAAGCTGAACAGCTACAACCTCGTACATCCCTTCACGTCTGTGACCGTCATGATGGGCTCTGCTAGCATTGCTAGCTCTGCCTGAAACGTAGAGCTGGATTAACGTCAAATACGTGACATAATGTATGTTTTGCGACTGAATCTGACCGTCCTAATGGGCGGTGTAAGACACTAAACATCGTGTGAATAATCCGATTAAAGGCGGTCTTTGGAAGAAATCATAATTTTCTGCTAATTTAAGCGGCATATGGCGTGAATATAGGGCATGTGTCCACTGGGATGCAGTAGCAGCGGACAAACGCTTAATCCTATTTACACTGCATGTGTTTGTGGGTTCATAGGGTTTAAAAAAAGGGAGAAATCGCCTTTTTATTAATAGGGATTAGTTCTGGAAAATGGCATAGAAAACAGTGGAGTATATGTTTTTTTTTTCCTCAGGGAATTGTGTGTCTGAAACTGATCTTTGGGTATTCTTGTGAGTACTTGGCCTAGATGATAAAGGAATGGTTCACCCAAAAATCAGATTTGCACAATTTTCCTCTAACTTTAAACGTAGTCAGTTGGCCGAGACATGTTTGGTGTCTGAAGTTCGCTTCTGTATTTAGTTTTTACTGGGACTGTAAACCTAATGTAGCTACAAGTAAAAAGAAGTAATAGTAGTGTGTTACCCACAGTCTCCAATGTAGCTCCACTACAAAACTAAAGAAGCAAACTTTGAACATCAGACATGTCGTTTGGGACGAGGGGTAGATTGCATCAAATCGATTTTTTGTGAACCATTCCTTTAAACAAAGCAGCCTGGTTTATTTATGTTCAAGCTGAGCACTTTGCATGCATTTTAACTGCATTTCCTTTCTGAATGTGGAACTTTTTTACCTTCGTGTGCTTTCTTGAGGACGTATGAAACCCTGATCTCTGTCTTTCTTACTCTCTCTTGTCACAGACATGTCAGAAATTGTGCCCCCGGAAGTCAGACCCAAACCGGCTGTCCCTGCCAAGCCCTCCCATGTGGCACCGCCCGCTAGCGTCCCCCATATGCCCCCCCATGGCCCAGGGGCTGGAAGTCAAGGGTCAGGAGGGGGCTCCACGTTGCTAGGATACGTCGGAATAGACACCATCATTGAGCAAATGAGGAAGAAGACCATGAAGACAGGCTTTGACTTCAATATCATGGTTGTTGGTATGTGAAAACCTCACAGCTTCGCAGTCTATTTTTGGAGTAGTGCTGAGGGTTTGGAGAGCTTAAAGCAGAAATCAGATTTACAGTTTTCCCTCAGCCCAAATGTGGCCAATCAGACAAGACATGTTTGGTATGAAAAGTTTGCTTCTTTAGCTTTACATTAGAGCTACAAGGCTAATATAGGTAACAATTAATAGAAGCTTATATGTCAATTAGCTTCATGCAAACTGCATACCTCAATCATCGCATCAGGTTGTTAGGTAACCTCAAGTAGACTTGCTTGTTTTGTCCTGATAATGACAAAATATAAATTGGTCATGGTTAAGCTTCCATTAGCTACATTAGCACCATAGCCCCGTTACAAAACTAAAGACACCAAACATCTTGGCTGATCAGCTACATTTGGAGTAAAGGGTAAACTGTGTAAATGTATTGTTTTGTTTAGAACCGTTGCTGTCACGAAAGCCAAAATGTAGGCTAATAAAGGTGCATCTGTCTCTGAATAACCAGGAAAAACAGCACAAGATATTTATACCTCTTCTTGCTGCCGATTGCACCATAGTTCCATCATTCCATCATTTTCTCTCTCTCACTTTGACTCTCTCTCACATAGGTCAGAGTGGCTTGGGGAAGTCCACTCTGGTGAACACTCTATTTAAGTCTCAGGTGAGCAGGCGAAGCTCAGGCTGGAGCCGTGATGACAAAATCCCCAAAACGGTGGAGATCAAATCTGTGTCGCACGGTAAGAGAACAAGAACTTTTGTTCTTTAAAGGATTCAGTAATGAGGAACATTATTATTATGAGAAAAAAAATCTGAAGAACTAGGTCTAGGAAGTAACGTGTTTAAAAATAACTTTACTGAGGTCACAACACTATTCAGTATGTTTCAGTGACTTATAAAGTCCTAATGTTCTCTTTGCCATAACTCTCATCATAGAGACAAGGGCCAATTGTCTATAAGAGCGTAGACAGACTCAGAGTCAGTCTGGCATGTGTTCCGCCCTGGGCAGTGACAGTGGCCTAATGCTGAATGCCCTTTAGGTGCCAGCGTTTGTGCACAGCTGGCAAACAGCAGCAATTGGCATTCAGCACAGACTCTGAATCTGCAGGAGTTAACTGCTGTGTGGGCTATATGTTTCATATTTGTTGAATGTGTAGGCAGTTGTAGTACCATATCATTGGGTGATTGGGTCCAGGCCTGGAGGAGAGGATAACACTTGTGCTTTACATTTTTACATGGGACAAAAAGCCCCCTTTGTATTTTGGAAAGAATTTTTCATGTGTTTCTGTTCATTTGCAGTTGTCAGCTGTGAATCTTTTGGGGTTCATAGTCCATGAAAAGCTTTTTGTGTTGACGTTGTCGCTGCTTTGCGTTAGGCCAAAAATATCTCTGAGACTTAAAGCAGGCAGTAGATCTGATGCAGTGAATCTTGTACATTTTCTAAATGCCCTGATGAACCTAGGACAAGACACAATTTTATGGTCTTTAAGTATATCAGCGCTAACTGCTGATGCTGTTTCATAAATAAGGTTAATTAGAATACAAAAGGTGACCCTTTTAGAAAACAATGCATTTTTCTGTCCTAGATGTTAAAAACTCTTGTGTTTATTTTTGCACACTTCTCCTTTTGCTCCTGTATTATAACCGATGTCAATATCAATGCAATTTCAGTGATTAGAGCTAACTTAAAGGGCCCATATCCTACATTTTTCTCAGATTTTATTTTCCCCTTGATGTTCCATTATAACATGTTTGTGGTTTTATGTACCAAAATTGTCACAATTTATTTTTTACATGACCATTTTCTAACTTGTCTTTGTCCCTTAGAATTAAACAGGCTTTTTTATCACTGTGCCTTTAAGACTGACATATGATAAATGAGCTTTGTTCTGATTGGATGGTCTGAATGAGTGCCTCATTAATAAAGCCTTGAAACACTCTCTACAGCTTCAATATTAATCGGTAGGGCTAAATTGCTGTAAGCTGAATTGGTGGATAGATGTAAATGTGTTAGTTGTTGTGACAACTAACCAAGATTTTCATTTTTCATATGTGGACTTTATGAAGTGGGTTTTGAATTGTATGTTTTGAAACTTTGATGAAGTTTACATATTACTTTAAGCTCCTTTATTTTAGAAAAAGCAAGGGAAATTTGGTTTGCAGTAATGATGGGCCCATTATTTAATGTATTGTTAGTGATACATTTAGAGACTTTGCCATTTAACTCATTAAAATCTGACTCCAGTGTGAAATGAACATGTAAACATTCATGTTAATCATAGTAAAAATGGATCATCTCATGAAACTGGAGCTTTCTGTGAGCTACTGTTTCCTATCACTATATAAAAGAAGCATGACACAGGCTTTATTGTTGGATGCGCTGTGATAGTTTCTGAGTCAGTGTGTGCATACATTCAGAAAATCAGAGAATAATTCAGATCAAGGGCTTATTACTGATTTGTTTCGTCAGAGGTGACTGAAGTGTGATTTATGTATTTTTGTACAAAACTGTACCCGACACCAAAAAATCTATGACTTTCTGGCTTCGTTTGTCTCATGTTTTTATTAAGTTTTATCAGGTGAAATTATATAGTGTAGATATAAAAGGTAAAGAAAATAAACACTGTAGATATAAAAGGAAAAAACACACAATTTGCCTCAGATAGAAGGGCAGAACTGGAGGTAAAAGTAAAAGTACATTTCCAAAAACCTGTACTTACTAACTTATAGAATTGCAGTGGAAGTTTTTACTACATAGTATCTATCAGTGTAGGAACTGAAGTTTTTTAGGCTCTGTTCTTTTCTTTTTGGAACCTTTTGGATTTAAATAAAAGAAGTAAGTCAGAAGGTCTGAATGTTAATGAACAGAGTAAAAACGTGAAGGTAACTCAGTGAAAAGGAGATTCCTTTTTTCACAGACATACTTGAGTAGAGGTAAAAGTATTATCATTTAAAATATTCAGGAAAGTACAAATCCATCAAAATTTACATAACTGAGTAAATGTGACTAGTTTCTACCCATCTTTTCTTTAAAGGGTTATTTGTAAGTTGTGTGTTATGGTTCATGTTATAGTGATTGAAGAAGGTGGTGTGAAGATGAAACTGACTGTGATCGACACTCCAGGATTTGGTGATCAGATCAACAATGAAAACTGGTGAGTAAGACTATGTGTTTAAGTATGTATTTATTAGTATCATTTGAGTAGCAGAAGGTATGTGTGTATATGGGTACACTTTTGTTCTCTTAGATTAAGAAATAAAACTTCACACTTTCTTTTTCTAACCTCTTCAAAATATAACCCATCCAGTCTTTGAAATGAGCTCAGTTATTCCTCAGTAACTAAAGTTCACCTCTTGTGTTTGAAGCTGGGAGCCCATCTCCAAGTACATCAACGAGCAGTATGAGAAGTTTCTAAAGGAGGAAGTGAACATTGCCCGTAAGAAACGCATCCCAGACACACGAGTGCACTGCTGCCTGTACTTCATATCTCCAACCGGACACTCGTGAGTACCTACATTTAACATCCAAAAACATCCTGAGAATCAGGGACCTTCTTATTCCACAACATGGAACAGTGCTGTGATAAAATTAACCCTAAGACGTTTGGAAATACTAATTAAATGTAATAACATTATTACATGATTAACTACTTAGTTACTGCATTTCTGATTTTTTTTCTGTTTATTTCAATATCAACAAACCTACCAAAACATGGCAAAATGGAAATAATATTTTTTTCCCCATGCTTTTGTTCTTACTGACAGTAATGGTGATTCGTAAGTGTTAAATGAAGGATAACCTGAATAGGTTGCACAAATACACATGCTAACAAAACTTCTGGGTCAAAATGTTATACATACTAAATCACCAAGTGGCAGCTATTTACAGGCGTGAATTGGTACAGATGTTTGGATTGGTGTCTCCTGACACCAATTAGCAGAGAGGTACCCATTGATGCTCACAGTGGAGAAGTTTATTTAAGACAGGAGTGCTTGGTTACTCTTTCCACGGCCAGTTAAACCCATGTGTCTAACTGACTGACTGGGCTGCAGTAATCAAAGCAGGCTTACAGCAATCTCAGGCTTACTACAGCCCCTGAAAAAAGCTCTCCACTACTTCAATCTGTTAATCCCCCATGTCTATCCTTCTCTCTCTTTTCCTGTCTCCACTCTCTCTGGACCACTCCCTGCCTCTCTGCCTGTCTCTTACTTCGACTCTTTCTCTGTATTAGGCTGCGGCAGTTGGATATAGAGTTCATGAAGCACTTGAGTCGAACGGTCAACATCATCCCTGTCATCGCCAAGGCGGATACACTCACTCCTGAAGAGAAGACTGAGTTCAAACAGAGGGTAAGAGAGAGAGAGAGAAAGCATTTTTCAGGGCCAGATGACTGGCTGCATAGACAGCTGGATGGGTAGATAATCGGTAGTCGGTAGACACCGACTTAAGCTTACTTGCCCTCTTTAACTTTGTTTTAAAATTGTTTAAATCTGCCACCACAAGTGTTATAGCACCTGCATGTGCATGCTGACCGGAGTGAAATGTATCCGTATTTAGAATCTGAGCTTTCTGTGTGCTACTCTGTTTTCTATCACTGTATAAAAGATGCATGAGTCTTCTTTCATTGTTGAATGCTGTCATTCAGAGCACAGTTCAAACCGGTAAGCATTTATTGTTAATTTGTTTAATGAATGTAACAGTAAAACACAGCTGATGTGTGACTTATATTCACGTGTTTACCTTTTCAAAAATGTAGTTTCTGAGACAAACTAAACACAAATTTGGCGTGGTTAGATCATTTTCTACACACATCAAATAAATGCAACAGCAGGATTAAGAAATCATGTGAGTAATGGAGACGAGCAGATTAAATGGCAGAAATAGCCACTTTGCATTGGCCTTAAAGGGTTAAAGGAATAATTTGGCATAAAACCATTTTAGACAATTATACTCTTACCCACAATGTGGTCGATCAGCCAAGACGTGTTTGGTATCTGAAGTTAGTTTTGCACTGAAGCAAAGAGGCTAATGTAGCTAACAAGTAATGGAAGCTTATAACTGGCTTAACTTTATGCAAACTGCATACCTAAATCATCACACACCTTCCTCAAACACAAGGTGCGAAATACCCCCTGAATGTCTCAAAAGTCCTGGGGGGTCCATGAAAAAAAAATGACATCCATTAGGGAAAAATAAATGCTCAAATACAAATTCAAAGAAAGGTCATTGTTTAGTTGCTTCATCCACAGTTGGTAAGCTTCTGTCTGTGGTGTTCTTAACTAACTAGAGATGTAGCACTAATCTGCCCCTGGTGCTGCAGCAGACTGGTTCATCCAGTTGGTCCTTTATGGCCTAGCAACTGTAACTATGCCTAAAATACCTCTGAAAAACTTTCCAATATGCTGTAGCATATTTGTAAATCTGAAAACTTGCCAAATTTCCCACGAGACTGGTGGAAAGAGTGAATTATTACTCATCTCTCGAACCGAAGACAAAAAGGGAAATCTGTACGATCTCAATTAATGTGTGGAAGAGCGCATTACCAAACTAGAAAAGAGCATTTCCAAAAGAAGAATTGTTAAACCAAACATCTTGTTGCCACTGAAGCTAGCATCAGTACTGCTGTGGTGACTGATTTACCAGCCAGCTAACATGGACAGGGTGACTCACAGCAGCGCAGACACCATGTTTTAATGTGGTTTTTTCTCCTGACTCAGTAATTTTACTTTTTTACATTTTAACAAAAAAAGATTGTACATTGTGCAGCTTTACAACAAAATGTGTCTGTTTATTCAAATGGTTTATTATAGTAATTATAGAGATGGATCGATGTATGAATGTAACTACTGCACCATTTAAGGTGAAACAGGAACATTTGGAACCAGAAGCTGGTGAATAGGACTGTAAATTAAAATAGATCACAGAACTGTGATTTAATGTCCTGTGAGTGTAATGTCCTGTTAGCTGTGCCAGTTGCGTAGGCTCTGGTTATATCAATAGTTATGCTAGCATTAGGCACCAGAATATTACTGCTGCACCATTTAAGGTGGAAAGGGAAAATTTAAACAAGAAGCTGGTGAAAAAGAAGCTGATTAAAAGGGAATTAAAAGGGAACAGTTGCTCTGTTTCTGCTTCACAAGTGGATAACGTTAACTTATTTTCGCTGTTTCACAGAATCAATAGGTCAGTACTGTTTTGTCTCATTTGCTAATGTTTGTGGTTAGCTTGTGTAGTGGTAGTGGTGTAAGTAGTGACAGCTTGCAAACTCACAACCTAGCTAGGTATCGTTAGTTACATTACTTCCTGTGTTGTTTTCTCTAACGTTATGTCATGGCATTTGTTTGTATAATGTTTATGAAAGATTTTATAGCCAAGAAGATATTTTAAAAAAGTGTTGTTCACCTTGGCAATTCGCTTCCATGAATTTGGGGGTCAGAGCTTCTGAAGGAGCTATTGGCCCGATTGTGCTGAAAGGTGATCAATATCAGCCCCAAAATACCAACCGGTCCATAGTTAATAATTACATACTATATTTTCCTTTCTTGCCCAGGTGAGAAAGGAGCTGGAGGTGTGTGGGATCGAGTTTTATCCACAGAAGGAGTTCGATGAGGACCTGGAAGACAAGAGTGATAACGATAAGATCCGGGTAAAATCTCAGTGCCACATGACTTTTTTATAGAAAGTCACAGTTCCCTTTATGTTGCTGTGGCTCATTAAACTGAGCTTCTATTCCAGTCCAACAGCATCTTTCTTCATCACTCTTTTTTGTGCTTTCTGTCCTTTGGTCTGCTGTTTTGCTTTTTGTTGCTCTTGATCTGTCTTTGTCTTTCTTTGTACTGTGCTTTCTTTGTCTCTTTCTGTGACACATAACTGTCTCCCCTCATATGCAAGCTCATACGTCGGCATTGTATGCCTCATTAAATCTTTGTGTGTGTGTGTGTGTGTGTGTGTGTGTGTGTGTGTGTGCAGGAGGCCATGCCCTTTGCAGTTGTGGGAAGTGACAAAGAGTACCAAGTCAACGGCAAACGAGTTCTGGGGAGGAAGACCGCCTGGGGTATAGTAGAAGGTGTGTGTGTTTGCTGTGTCATACTCTGGCTTGCCATCTAGATCATGTCATGTATGGCTGGAAGAGAACTGTCTACATTCTGTCATAATAGGGCGCATCTCTGTTCTGACCCAAAAAAGGCCGTTACATAACGTATAACACCCCTAGTGGCCTGAGATTGACTGAGATATTTAGAATTAATATGATTATGGAGGAGGAGGCGTGGTCGAGCGTCACATGCAAGACGGAGAGCCAGTCATGCCGAACCAGCGGGCTGACTAGCTGATAAGATTCACCTGTGTCTTGTTTCAGCCAGCATATAAAATTAAAGAGAACATTCGCAGGGACTATTCAGCCTTTTTCTTTTCTGTGTCATCAGTGATCTCCTTCTTTCTCTGGGCACTATTTGCACTTATTTGCGTATAGAAAATCCAAATTTATTATTGAACTTTTTAAACTTTAATGACTCGTCCCTAATTAATATTTGTCTTTACACACGGTTTAATGAGAAATTTGAGCACTGTACAGTGATGTTTAATCTGACTAATTTAACATTAACATTATTTATTATTAGATTTACATAATAAAGCTTTTTTTCATATGCGTATGTGTGGTGGGGGTCTTGCTAACCATTTTCACACAGGTTTTAGTCGCTACCAAGCTGAGACAATGAGGGCTAGTGTGTGTTTGCTCCAAGATGTGAAGCGCAACAGCATCTTTTCAAACTGCCGCTAGCGTAACTCCATTGAACAGCTCACTCACTCACTGTTTTGTCATTGTACCCACCCAGAGAAGGTGAGGCCAATTATGACTGGGGATCAAACTTGCAATGTTCTGATGATAGGATCAAAGCATAAACGGCCCTAGGAGCCTTTAAAATGATTATTGGCAAATACAGTAACCACAAAGTTTAGCTCATCTTAGTGCCAACATAAGTCTATAAATAGTTTTCTCAATAGTTTTCTTTTAATTTAATTTTTTTCGGCTTCAAGAATAAAAAACAGAGCAGGCTAAAGTGTGTCAGGCATTATACGTCCCTCAGCACCACCCTTCCACTATTTCTTAGTCTAAAAATTCTGACTAACTTACTGCCAGAGCTGTTCTCACTGCAGGCTTGTTTTGAGGAGTCCTTCTGTCACCTGATGAAGGAATGTTTAGGGACTACTGTGATCGGCTGAGAGGCGTGTCTAGTAAAGTTGTGACTAAAGGCGGCCCCTCGGTGTAATGCGTGTACAGCATGTGGTGGGGGACATGTTTGTGTGTGTTTCCTGAGGGTGTGTGCTGTGCCTCATGGAGACAGTGTGTGCTACACTGCGATGCTACATCTAACAGGGAGATGGGAGGCTTCTGCTCCACTGAGTTCCTTTCGCCTGCAGCGAGGCAGATTGAGACAGAGTGTGTGCGTGTGTGTGTGTGTGTGTGTGAGAGAGAGAGAGAGAGGGGAGACACAGAGATGGCTAGTTACCTCTCCTCTTTGACATTTCACTGCTGTGAGACATTTTGAGGCCATCTTTGATGCCTGTCGTCATCCATCCACCTCCTGCTCGTTACTAATGCCTGATGATTTTCCCAGGGCCGTTAAAACACTGATACTGGTTTAAAAAAAGGCGTTTTGCTTTTACAGCTCATTTTAACTGCTTAATTTGAATGTGATGATTAACAGTTTGTCTTGTACTTTTCCTCCCACCAGTCGAGAACCCAAATCACTGCGAATTCTCTCTGCTACGGGACTTCTTGATCAGGTAAAATATGTATGATTTTTTTGGGTAGAATGGAAACAAAACCACCATGTTGACGTTAGCTTGAATACATGACAAGAAAAAACTGCTCCCAGTCTATCCTAAAGCTGGCAGGTGAAACTTTCATGCAACTAATAGCAAATAGTGAGTTGCCTGCAAAATAATTCCCCTGAAACTTTACAGTTACACAAAGCAATTCCAAAACAATACAAGTTACACACAACACATTCAGTTACTCCACTAGATAACCAAATTAGCAGCTTGTATTTTTTGATATACTGTCATCTCTATATGTACTGTGTTCTCGCTATAAAGTAATCTGTAAGGTATAATTCACATCTTTGAAAACTTTTTTTAGCTGTCATTGCTGTTTGTTTTTTCATCATTTCAGGTTCTTTACTCTATATTTGATTTTTTTTATATCTGTCGTATAATTGTAAAGCCTTTGAAAATGAATGGTTAAGTAGCTATTACAGTTTTAGCCTACTTGATGTCTGTCTCATCCTGTCCTAGAAGCGCAAGTCTGCACATCTCTGTCTCCTCTTCTGTGATAATTTTCTTCTTTTGAATCCCAAATGAGTCTGAGCTCTGTGTAGAAGTAGAGGTCATCAGTAGAGGAGAAAATGAATCTAGCTATGTAGATCACGTAAATAGCAGGCTAAAGAAGAATAAATGGTGGCACAAGCAGCCATTTAAACAGCTGTTAGCGTCAGCAGACTAGTTAACACAGTTGGTTACAATAAGTTAGCTTTGAGAAACTAATGTTTGTTGTCATGGTTCAGGACACTGACAAAATGAGAGACTAATAACCTTGAGCCAGTTGGGTTGGGGGGTGATACACACACACACATATATATATATATATATATATATATATATATATATATATATATATATATGTGTGTGTGTGTGTGTGTGTGTGTGTGTCTCACTACACTAGGGATGGGCATTTCAGTCTCAAATTTGATATGCATATTTTTAAAGCATCATTCAAATATTTGAATATTTGAAGTTTGTGAAGAGTTAGTTAGCTGCCACTAAACCTGACAAACTCACTAAATGGTGCTGAAAGATTTATTTCATTAAATCTATACAAGTAGAGTGTAAAATGAGCACTATAGCTGCACTTTGTACTGTCTACTATCTGGTGCCAGAGACCCACTACTTGTCTGGTGTATGGTAGGGTTTAGCCAGCTGTAGTAGTCTTTCTGTGCTTCCTTCTTTGGAGTAAACAGTTAAGAAACTCTGATCAAAACATAAGATGCAGGCTCTACCCTCTGGTGGAGTACAGAGTTCTCTGACGGTTTTAGGAGAATGTTTAGACAAGCTCATTTGCATATCGAAAATCCTAACTATACTATTCGATTTTTCATGAATTCATGACTGTTTGAATATTCAAACTTTCTGACTCGTCTCTAGTGGCAACATTCACCTTTTACTCACTAGAGAGAAGTCTGACTGTTCACTCTAAACAGCTGTGACTGAGAAAAAAATCTAATTTTTTGTGACCAAAAATGCTACACATCTTGTGCATTGTGGAACTGGTTCCGTTTCTTTAAATCACATGCAAACACAGAGCAGTGTTGTTGGCAAAACAGGCAACACTAACAGTAGAGTAGTGTTGTTGGCACTAACAATATGTATGTGCATATAATAAAACTCAATATTGAATGACAATGGAAAATTACAGTGAGTAAGATTTTTGCTCAACAAGTACTACTAATTACACCATGGGTTCTGAGAGTAACGCAATTTCAATACTCTATGTCCTGTACATATTGTAGTATTGACAATAAAGCTGACTTGACTTGAATTATTGACTCTGTCTTTATTAGGTCTCACCTACAGGACCTGAAGGAGGTCACTCACAACATCCACTACGAGACATACCGTGCCAAGCGGCTCAACGACAACGGAGGACTCCACCCCATCTCCTCCAGCGGCGACACGCAGGAAAGCAACCTGTGAATGAGGGAAAGAGTGAGAGTGTAGAGAGAGATATGAGATGAAAGATGATAACGTCTAATCTTTTGCGGATACATACATCAACGCATGCTCTGAGGATTTCTTTGCTGTGGAGTTCTTGTCTTAACGCTCGTTTTTAACTGTCCAAGCACATTTGTCTTTGCCTCTCCTCACACCAAGCTTCCTTTCTAAAACTCCCTGTACTTTATGACAGCACACAGTGAGTCTTAAGCCTAAGATGGAGGTAGATAATCCTCCCTGAACCATTTCTGAACTGAATTTGGGTATGCTATGGTGATGTCTTTTCCTTCTTCTTTGCCATTACTATTCCCCCACCTAAAGCAGTTACTCCTATAATTCAGTGATTCACCATATGGATGGGTGACTACACTGCCATTCAATTGCACAGATTATATAGGGGTCCAAAAAACTTAAGTCTTTTCAGCTTTTCCTAACAGCCTTTATTCCGTACCTGCCAAACCAAGTCAGGAACTCAGAAAGTGCACGTTTACAAGCCTCAACAACGATCTACTGACTATTTGACCATTCCTGTCGCTAACCAAACAGGGAAAAATGCATGGCTTGGAGTTCCAATTGCACATCTGTCTTGAAGCCACACTTCTACAGTCTTTCTTGATGAACTGATTTTTTGACTCTATTTCAGGAATCTCACTTTATCTTGTACTAGAGTAGCACACCATGCACTAAGTAGAAAATTCCTATGAACACAAAATCAAGTGTCTTTTGAAGGTTTACGCCCCCAGTGCATTTTGTATAGATGTTTTTTTTTGTCCTGTGTGTCCCGAGTGTGTGTGTGTGTATACGAGTGTGTATGAGAGCGAATGTGCCTTTCCATCTTTCAGATCTACATATCCAGTTTTTTTTTTTACTTCATGTGTGCCAATGATTTTATCAGTATGCATGTATATAGCTGATGCGAAGGTATTGCGAATTGTTTGCGTTTACAATGGTGTTAACTACTTGATATTACAGTCAAAGCACAGATAAGTCCTACTTCCCTCATTTTACACACTCGACAGCATTTTACCACTGAAGGTACACAATATTACTAGCTGTGTCTCATCTCAAACCAGTTCACTGATCTCTCTTAACCCATAACCTTTTGGATGCAAATACCTCCTTATTCATTTTTTTCTCATTAATGCTTCTTGTGTAATATTAAAGTACATTTTAGTATTATTGCAAAGTATTGTTTTTATGTATTATTTATTACATTTTTATTTAATAAACGTGTTTTCCATCAGTTTTCTGACCTCGTTTGACTTTCTTAAGACAAAATAAACTAAAGCTGCGTCTCTGAAGATTCCCAGCAGTCATTTCTGTTCTGAATGAGTTTGACCAGCAGGGGGAGACACACCACAATATGTAAGAGGGCGCAGTTGTTCGCCACGTCCATAGGGGGGCGCTGCACGTCTAAATTTTAAGTCAAGATGTCCGACTGAGCACCACGTGTAAAATAACGGCTGGAGTTCACGCGATGTTCGATGTTGGTCGTTGAGGACTTTGGACAGCGACGATTTTAATAGAATTACAATAAATATTAATGTCCATGTGTGACATGTTAAGCTTTCTTTGGTCCACGTGTTCTCTAAGCTGGCCTGAGCACTAAGGATATATGAAAAATGGATCAAACCATATGCGTAAAGGGTGGGGGGTGTATCACTCAAATTTAGTCTGTTGGTCACGTGGGACGGCCCTTTTTTTTACAATAGAAAAAAACAATTAATTTGACTCCACATAAGTGAAAATGACCCATCTTCAAAAAAGTCAAACAGGCCATGGATATATGTTCATATACGATAGACCTCTACATAATTACACCACTTCAGCGGACCTCATCATTATGAAAGCACTTGTTGGACGTTCACTGATTAATGATTAACAGCCTTCAGGTGTCCTCTTGTAAAGGACGAGGGGACAGTAGAGCTGAACGGTGGCGCTTCACTGAGTGTCGTGTGGTCTGAGCAGGAGTTCTCATGTGGGCTCTCGCACACCTGGGTTCTTTGACTGTAGCTGATCAATCAGTACAGGTGACGATCAGAACCGTCCTCTGTAACGATGTAAAGTCGACACGTGTCGTCCTTTCGCGTTTTTTCTTGCCTCTTAACAGTCATGTCGCTGTCTCTCCTGCATGCGCTGCGCTCCAGCGCCTCCTCCTCTCAGGGAGAAGGGGGCGGAGCCTGTGCGTGTGCTTTTGTAACGACGGAAAAAAATGGAGAAGAGTGTGAATGCTCACCGTTTTACCGTTGCACATAACAGTGACCCACCCTGAACTCGCCTTTGTCATTTTCATGCTCACTTTTCTTCATTTTATTATCATGTTTCTCTTCTTGACTTTTCCTCTCCTCCTTTTTTATGTCTTTGAGACTCTGTGGTTCTCCTGGTCCAACCAGGAGCTTCACACCTCACAGCTGTGTGTAGTGCTGGATTTTTAAGACACTGAACAGCCAGTTAATAAGCTGACAGCTCAGTGCTGTTCTAGACTGACCTCACTCAGCCTAATGGTACATCCCAGGTGTCTTGATTCTCCACACCAAATGTGAAAGCAATGCCTTGGACTTGTAACAGAGGACAGACAAGTTCTAATAATAAGGCTAAATCTTGTCAATTGTTATTTTTATATTAAACAAACTTTAATAACTATCCCACTGTCCATGGGTTAAATCCCCTAGAGGTCGCTGGTGGAACTGCAGGAGACACGGTGGACATTTTGGACAGAGAAGCAACATCAAGCATGTGGCATAGAAACAAAATGGCTGACTGAATCATAAGAGCTGTGATCAAAAGTGCGAATTCAAGCGCGTACATGATTATTTTTTAAAATCAACCTGTTATGGATCACTTTCACACACTTTTTTACAGTACTATATTTATTTATTTTCCGCTGGAAGTGTTTGGCCCCCCGTTATTGCTGATTTAGACTCACATAGATTAGGCTTAGATCTGTTCAGAAAAAAGAAGAAAAAAAGATTATTTATACCTTACTGACTGCTACCAATCTGGGAACAGTTACACAGTAAACACTTGTAAACCTTTAAAGCTATAGTAGCTAGTACGAATAAAAAAATGTCATGAACCTGTCCCTGTGTGAATGCTAATGTGGAAAACTAAAAAAAAGCGTTTTTAAAAAAGTGAAAGTCTGTTTTATCAGTTATATTCTGAACACAAATCCTCTGTGAGCTGTTCCTGACAACTATGTACCCCTGTCAAACGGAGAAAGTCGAGGAAAGTTTTTAATTTAGACAAAGAGCTGCTGCAAAAGCATTTTTCTTGAACAATGTGACTGAATAGGCTCCGCCCACCCCCCCCCCCACCCGGGGACCCCCACACACCGCCAGTCTTTATACCCTCCCCCCTCTTCCCCTGCCTCAGAGACATTTACTCCTTTTAATCTTTTAATCTTTCTTATGATCTACTGGATCCAGTGTTTTTTCCTCAAAATGCACCGAATCCACTTCATTTACTCGGTGTTTCTGAGATTGAACGGCGTGGCTGTTTCCGAGTGGTCAGCTCGCGGTCGATGCAGCCGCTGTGAAGAGCACCCAGGCGCCTAGAGCGAGAGCGGAACAGGGGGAGGAGTGAGAGGGGGGGGGTCTCCTCAGGACGATCACAACGAAAAACCGCTCCGCAAAGCTTTAGTGAAATGATTACTTATGAAATATTAAGAAAAAAATAGAACAAGTTAGGCTAATAAGCCGTATATGTACTGAACACAGTACACACATAAAAAGATGGATGTTCAAGGGTTCTTTACTACAGGCAAAGGTTCTGTTTAGAACCATACGTTCTGTGTGGTTCTTTGCATGGTGAAATGCAAAACTTCATGCCGTAACAATAGAACGGGGTCCCCTTCGGTGCTATACAGAACCATTTCCAAAGAAGTTCTACATAGAACCACATAACGTACAGCACATTCCCCTTCAATGTGAGCATGCAAAGAAGGGTTCTTTGCATATAGGGTCACGCAAAGAACCCTATACGCATGAAATGGTTCTATATAGAACTCATGGTTCTAAATAAAACCATTACCTTTACTAAAGAACCCTTAAAGAACCACCTTTTTTAAGAGTGTATGCTAAAATGATTATCGCTGACTGCTCATGAACTCTGGTAGCGTCTTTCTTGGTATTATTAATTATTATTGGATTAATAATATTTATCAGTTAATCAGCCTAAAAACCTCAAAACGAACTGGGAAGCGAGGCTAGATTAGCAGCAGTGCTAATGCTAAAGGAGACCAGCTTTGCTAACTAAGTGTACCACAGAAGTTGTCCGTCAACATGCGAGGCTGCAGCTGGTTTACTATTCGCTTATAGTTCGAATTTTCCGGTCCACCTTAAATGGTGCAGCAGTTACATTCTGGCGCCTCGGGCAGGCTGTGGACCTGCTGCAGCATTTAAGGTGGACCGGAAAATTCGAACAGAGCCGGCGAATAGGAAGCCGAATTCAGATTCGTCGTCAATACTGAGGCGCAGTTAATGAGGCTGCGCTCCTGTAACTTCTTAATGAACTCAGTAGATCACGTTTCACGTCGACATTTTTTTCTGCTGACGTTCGTCAGCGTGGTAGGAGGTCCTTACTTTCTCTCAGCCTCCCTTTCTTTTTTTTCATCTCTGTCCCGCGAAACCGCGCTCTCCCTCCCTCCCTCCCCCTCTTCGCCTTTGAACAGCCTCACAGCGCCCCGGCTCCTACACCGTTTCACTCACTCGCACAGACTCAGACACAGCCGCACTGTGTGTACAGTCAGTCAAACTGTGCGCTCGTGTGACCGCCTGTCTCTGATTCCGTCACCACCGACACGCGTTGACGACTCACGCTAAAAGCTCCGCGCGCGTTCGCCAACTTCGAAAACGAATCGAATCGCTGAATGTAAACAAACAGCGACGTTCTGTTAACTCCGGTTTACTGTCACGTTTCTCCGAGTGCTGGTGAGAACACGCGCTCGACCGGCCGGTGAAAACACTGGGTGAGTTCTTTATTTACGCTTTGCTGACCTGCTTTGGCTTCTTCAGTTCATTCATGTTCGCGTCTGAACCCATTCGTGTTTACATCTTAAATTCTTCTACACTTACTCGCTGTCAACCTGCTACTCTTGACCGCAGTTCAGCGGTGAGCTGCTTAAGTTTTGACCACTTGGCTACCCTCTGTCGCTAGTTCAGGTCTAAGGAGAACCTGTTCTGAGATCTGAATGGATCAGAAGTAGCTGGTACTGACTGTGTAATAGATTGCCTACTGTAGATTTACTTCAACTTCATTCTTTAATGTTTATTTTAACATCAGTCCAAAGCTGGTCTCAGTAAAAAAAATGTGGAACAATTGTTGTTTTAAAATTATTTTATATAATTCAAAAACAATAGCTGCACTTTATATTGTGTGAAAATTTGATGAATGGACCAATAGAAATGCTCCATAATTACTCTTTTTACATTAACTTGCATTAAAAATTAACATTTTTTACCTTATCTGGTAATGTTATCATTTGGAGATAAAGTTTTTGAGAATATTTTTGAGTATTCTGAGTACTGAGATTCAAATTAGCAGAACCTTAAAATTAGCATTTCGAGGTAGAAATTTCAGGTTTCTTCTGAGCACTTTCTAAATGTGGAGAATAGACAGGTATCATTATTGCCTGGGATTTTTAGCCAAAATTTTTGGGACTAGAGGTCAAAGCATGTGTATGAGAGTAAAGTTAACAAGATGGCTGTGCTCACTACAGGGGCGCTATATCTTCATTAAATTATTACTATTATTATTCTTATTATTATTATCACTATTATCTTGGAACTGTAAAATCTCTGGAAGTGAGAGAACTTCCATGTTCTTGCTAAAGCTGAAACTGCTTTAAAGCTGTTTAGCGCTAAAACATTAGCGTCCCCTGGAGTATAATGAAAAACTAGCCTTTCAAGTCTTTTAAACGCAATAACTGTGCTTCTTTAACTTAACAACCAAAGTAGCTTACACCAACACGTACAACGACAGATTCTGTAATTCTGTAAATTATTTCTGCATAAACGGCAAACATTTGGAATAGTGTCTTTTATAACAAGTGATTTGTACCATGATCGCCATTGGTTTAATTATTAATTGTCCAAAATGTATAGTGCAATTAAGTTATCAGTTATTAGTGGGTCAAATATGATTTATACCCCGATAAATAAAATAAATAAATAAAAA